TTACCCGGACGAGCCTGCCCATTCGTGCAACAGCCGAGGCTGCTGCGTGGCACTACCACCGATAAAACACGTTGACATTTTCGTCGCTGTGGCAATCGGCCGTTTAGGTGAGTGTTTAAAGCGACGTGCGGTTATAGTCACATCGACAAAATGTCAACGTCTTTAATCTTCATTGTGATATTAATTTTAATTTTATCACGATAATTTGAACTATAGATGTCGCCATTGCCATATGTGTTGCCAGTGTTGGCGCTGCACTATGACCTTGACAATGCTGATTTTTAACAAGGACAAATTGTAGGACGTACAGATGTTTTTTTTTTTTTTTCAGATCTGGACAATACAACAACCGTGAGATTGAATAAATCGGCCGTAGCTACCTCACTCACCGGACGAAACGCAGAACAACATTTCCACTTCACGCCGGTCTTCTGTGAGGTCGAGGTAATACCCGGACGGACCTGCCCCTTCGAGCAACAGCCGAAACTATTGCGTGGCCCTACCACAGTTATAATTTCAGTTTCTACCACAGTTTTCATTCATAGTTATAAATTTGCCGTCATTTTGAAATAACCGACCACAAAGCCACCACTTCCTGTTTTCATTTTGTTTATGAAAGTAATGAAAACCGCCTTGGTTTTCATTATTTCTACAGACAAAACGAGAGGATAAAGATTTTAATGATCCGAGTCCCATGAATTATTTATAACGACAAATTCATAAGGTTTAATATTTGTAATTTAGTCTCAGACTCTCAGTGGTCTTCGTGTACAAAATTATTACTTTTCTTTCAAACAATACCATTGCGAGTTTATTTAACGAACTTTACATTTGTATTATTAATGTATAAATGTATTAAACAGTTCCAAATATTCGGAACAATTTTTTTGGAGTAATTATAATAATATTTCATTTGAAAACAATGACATCTCATAATAAAACTTTCCCAAGTGAAACTGTTATCGCTATTAAATTATAAATTATTCATTGTCATTATTCATTGGATATAATAATTCTCTAGAGCACGGATGAGCAACGCGCGGCCCGCGGACGGCTTGCGGCCCCTTAAACATTATTATGCGGCCCGCCAAGCATTTCTAAAATTAAATTTATTTTATCGAATTTCTCCCATCAATATATTGTTATAAAATTAATTATAATAAAATGGTAGTAGATACTGAACCGAAATATTTTTTGTTTTTCTGTTCTTTTCTTGTTTATTTTTACCTTGCATTAAAATTTGTAATATATGAAATCTTTACTTTTTTTAATTTTATATTTTTTTATTCTAATATTAATTATAAATAAATTTTCGTAAAATATTGTGCGGCCCGCCAAAACAAATTTAAATTTAAATTGGCCCATTGATTAAAAAGGTTGCTCACCCCTGCTCTAGAGGCTTAGTCGCCGGGAGTCAGAGATGGGGTCTGAACGTCGAGGGTTGTATCCCTAATGGCAAGCACCAATAGTAAAAATTTTCAAATGTACAAACTAGAAAAATCACAGTGAACACAATTGCAGTTGCTTTGATAACCAAACATACAACAATTATTTAATGGAACAAAAAATCCGACTGCATCAAAAATACTAAGTACTCCTCAATTTTTTTTTTCGTGCATACCATATTGATTTATGTACCCTATGTCACCGTCACAGCTGAAACTAATCTAGTGACATCTCATATGTTGAAATCCGTCATAAAAGAACCTGCTACATAATTATGTCACCGGGGCCCACTTTATTAAAAAGTAGCAACACATCAACAACCCTACGGGTGTTGCAAATGTCCATGGGCGGCGGTTATCACTTAACATCAGGTGAACCGCCAGCTCGCTTGCCACAATCTCACATAAAAAAGACAGATAAAGGGTGATTTTTTTAGACGAAGTATTTACATACTTTTACATAATGTTAATTGAACATTCCATAATTCAAAAAAATATGAATATTTTATTGTTGTAATTTTTATTGTATTGTTAATTCATCCCGTTAAGAGTGGTCACCCTATTGATAAGCGGTTTAGTAATTATGCGTTCAGCGAACAGTTTTAGTGCTCGTGAATAGGTTATTATATTGAGACGGTAAGGCAGGAATTTCTAATAGGGAGTCCATAAGGTTCGAAAAAATTAAAAATAATCTATGAAAAAAAATTATGTCACAAGTACGTACCAGATTCAGATTTAGAATCAAATTTTGCATATGCTCTGTCAATATGTCCGTCGTCTATAAAATCACCCTGTATACAAATTCGACATACACTACCCTCCTACGGCAGTCGGACAAAATGGGTCTCATTACCTCACTCACGAGACGGAAAGCGAAAAAGTATTCCACGGTAATTACGAACATCAATACAGTCGAGGCGTCTCAAATTCAATATACTCACTATAGTACCTCTTCAAGTTGAAATCAATCTATTCCTTTATAAATCACCGTAGTCAGCCTCTAAAGAGCTTTGAATGCATTCAAATGATAAACTAAAAGATCTTTCGAGCGGGGAGAATGATTAATGGCATTGTAATGTCAAATGAGCGCGAATGGAAGAGTGAACGAACGAATGAATTGTGCCATTCATTGTTGCTAGAAGAATGATTGTGGCGTTCGTTTGCGACGTGCGAAGATTGTGTTGTGACAGGCGCGGGGGATATTTATTTATCTGTGGTCCAAAATGTTATCTGTATAATAAAAAATAATGTAGAATGAGATGTACATTGCGTCAAATGGAGACCTATTAATTCTATAAGAGGAAATTACACAATTGTTTTTGAAATAATAAAAATCTTTGAGCTCGTAGAGCTAGTAGTTCCATACAAACTTATAATTTTTATTAATTACGTAACGTTTGTCATGTCTTTCCTTCTTATTATTTACACATAATCAAATTATGTGTTCAAGATTAAGTGGGGAAGAGATTGTCTCCATATTACTACTTGTAGCTATGTAACCTGTATAGTTACCAGGCCAGAATCTACCTTTTAAACAATATTTATAGTACATTTTAAAGTTTTTTATAGTGCTAATCTCTGCACTTAAGATTGAACATTAAAACATGTAGAAAAAGTACGAAAAGATTGTCGCCGCTGTGGGAATCGAACCCACGTCTTCGGCTTTCGCGGCCTGACGCTCTAGCCACTGAGCTAAACGGCTGATAGCCACAGCGACGAAAATCTTAACGCCTTCTTTCTACATTGTTATTTAGCATTTTAAGCAATGCTTGACGCATCTATTGTTATATCCTTTCCAGCATACAAACAATTTCGAATATCATTTTACAACGATTATTCGAACGAGAGATGTCGCCATTGCTTTTTATAAATTTTAAAGTTTTTTTTATAGTGCTAATCTCTGCACTTAAGATTGAACATTAAAATTTATATTTGTAATTGTATCGCATTACATTCATTATTTACAATTCTGTAACACTACTATAAAAAAAAGATATTTAAATTAAATTACAATGTAATAAATATATTTTGACGATTCGCATTTCACCCGTCGACAACGTTGTTTAATAGACAAAAGTTTGGAATATAAGGTAACTATGAATTTATTTGTAAATCATTATGTAAAATAATTCGGTACATTTATTTTAATTCGCATCTTGTGAAGCTTGATAAGGCTATCTGTTTATATACAATCCCAGTTTACTCATGATATTACTGAAATGTTACGTAATTAGGGTCCAAACGCTAATCTCGTGGCAAATTCTAATTCATGCTTACATTTTACAGTATATATGTACACGTCCTGTATGAAATCTTCTTTTTCTTCTTTTAAATGGTGATCCATATGATATCACCAATAACACAATAATGGTATTAAGTCCGCCTCTGTTCATATTTTGTGTGCTTAAAGTACAATGAGAAATTGGCCTAAAGGTCCTTGATACCGGGCCATAAAATCAAAAAAAAAATATCACAGAGAAAGTCATTGGGTACTATAGTACCACGAAAATATTATGTAATAAATAAATGACAAAGAAACAAAAGTAAAAAGTAAAGTAACAGCCTCTACATGTCCCACTGCTGGGCAAAGGCCTCCTCTATACAGAGGGTATCAGGGCATAGGCCACCACGCGGCCCCACTGCGGATTGGCGGACTTCACATATTTTCGAAATATATTTTTTTGTTATTATTTCGAAAATATGCAGGTTTCACGATGTTTTCCTTCACCGCGGAGCACGTGGTAAGTCAGCACTTAAAGTTAAAAACTTCATTGGTGCCGGCACCGGGGATCGATCTCAGGTTGCTCGAGTATATTGAATTAAAGGCGAGCGCCCGGACACTGAGTTATCACGGCTCTAGAAAAAAGAAAGAAACAAATGACCTCAAAAATGTGAACGGTAAACTGCGGGCTTTCCAATCAATCAAATATGGCCACTCTACAGAAAGCCAATGTCATGTCAGTCATAGTAGACAAAAAATATATTTGAATTCACTTCTTGAAGATTTTGCTGTCACTCTGACAGCAGAATCCTTTATATATATATATATATATATATATATATATATATATATATACTTTTTATGGATTTATGGCCCCGTATCAATGACCTTTACGCCATCTTTATATTATTGGAGGCGTAGAATGTATAAGTAATATGTTGACCTTGTTTTTTTTTTTTTTCAATTGTGAAAAATTGCGAAATTTTTCGACAATTTATCGGGACATAATTCATTGTACACTAAAAAACGAACAAACTTATTTTTATAATGTAAGAAAAGATAATACATGCGAATAAAACTGGAAACAAAAAAATTGGAAAATCCAAAAGTGAACGCCACCACTCGTGTAATTTAATTTAAAAAGAAATAAGTCTATTATTTAGAAAATTTAGCAGAAGTGTAATATGAGAACAGGAACTATTTATTATTAGTATATTATTTTATAACTTATATATCGATTTTTATTATTATATTTTTTTTTTTATTAATGGGGTTAAATAATTACTGTTATTAAATCGGTAACTAGTTGATGGCCAAAAATGGGAGACACGCACCTTTTTTGTACGTCCTGAAGGTGTCCCTGGAGGTGGTGTACTGTATGTCGTACACAAGGGTACTCCCGGGCAGCACGCTGCGCTCCTTGTTGATCCTGTACACTGCGTACTTGAAGGCCAGCTCAGCGCTGCCGCCGCGGCCCTCTTCAGTGAATATCGCGCCTGCGAAGTAACGTCGAGTGACTTGAGTGGCTCCTTTGAGTGCGCTAGTCTTAATAACTTTGAGATCATCTCAACAGGGCGTTAGCTGTGCGCCCGGGCGCTCGCCTTTAATTCAGTTTACTCGAGCAACCTGAGTTCGATCCCCGGTGCCGGCACCAATGAAATCGTTAATTTTAAGTGCTGTCTTATCACGTGCTCGGCGGTGAAGGGAAACATCGTGAGGAAGCCTGCGTATTTTCGAAATTATAACGAAAAAAATATTTCCTATCACGGTTATTGTGGCCCTAACACAATTAAATCTAATATATATTTTCTTCACACATCGCGAAGCAAGTGACGATAATTTTAAATGTTCAAACAAAAGTACAAAAACAGAAGAGTCATTACAGCTACACTCCAAATCAATCATTCCAATCATTAAATTACTAAGTACTACAGTTAAATCAAATCGGCCTTACTACATAATAAATTGTTTTTAAGTATGATTTATTATATGATAATTAATTAATTAAGTATTATTGTTATTATATTAAGCAGTTTTACCAGTAGAACGCAAAAGTATATCGATATTCTTGCAGTCCTAAGACGAAATTCTATTTTTTTTTTAATTTTTTTTTAATTTATATTTTATTATACTTTTAGGTTTCAAACCAGTACCGCACGCATTTTTGATGATCTGAGCAATCGATGCCTTAATTCTCGTTTCATTATTGATTTGGATTGTGTTACGACGTCATACACCTAATGGCCGACGTCGGTGCGGTGTCAAATTGACATATAAATTGGGGTGTCGTTTGGCTGAATTGACGACGTAATACGACATTACTTTTAACAGAAATGAAGATATCAGAGGTAGGCAGCACGGATAACTAGATGACTAATGGAAAGGGCCTATTATAACGTCGAAGAATACGTTGAGGACAAGAATGTATGGAAATGACTATTGCTCTGCACTTGCAAGTACCCTGGTTGCTGCTGATTTTATACTTATGTGTAATTATATAATTAAAAAAAAGATAACAAGAACGCAGTTTCTTGCTGGTTCTTCTCTAGCAAATCTAGTTTAGTGAGCCGGTGGGAGTATTTTTGACGTTCAATAACAGCTTAAAATAAGCCTATATCGAATAGAGATTTTGATTGTAACTTTGATTTTGACTTTAATAACATGACTCGGTGGCCCAACTTTGATTGCCAAACAGGAGAAGCATTTGTGCAGCCTACAGAGTATTCCGATATAAAGTAACTAGCGACCCGCCCTGGTTTCGCACGGATGCAATGCCGAATGTTTGCTTTCGACGTCGCATTAGAAACCTCTAAAAAAATCAGTGTTTATCTACTATATTCTGCATGAATATAATCCTTCCTCTTGAATCACTCTATATATTAAAGGAAACCGCATCAAAATCCGTTGCGTAGTTTTAAAGATCTAAGAATATATAGGGAAAGAAAGACAGCGGGACTTGTTTTATACTACGTAGTGAAATAAATTAACACCCTATATATAATAAGTCCCACTGCTGGGCAAACGCCAACACGCGTCCCCACTGCGGATCGGCGGACTTCACATATCTTCGAAACATTTTTTTTTTTGTTATTATTTAGAAATCACGGCTCTCTCATTAACTAGCTTTCAACATGTCAGTTGATTCGTGAGAATTTTTACCGCGCCGTTAAAATAACATTATCGGTTAGTTAGTTGTTCACCACTTACTTTATACGTGCGTCCACCACACACATCAATGAATCATAAATTAAACATAATTAAATAAATATATGGTACAAACGTCCGTCACCCCTCTTTAAAGCGTCGCCAGCGCCGTGCGGTGGCGATAGTTTAGAAAGTTTTATATCCCGCAACCGCTCGAATGACGTTTCGTCCCTCGATATATTCAATTATCCCGGACATTGAGGGGGCGACAAAGTTGTAATGGGTACTAGGGTACCCATTACAACTGCGTCGCGCCCTCCCGAATAATACGTCGAGTGTGGAGTGCGGCCAGGTACTTGTTGAAGGCTACGTGTCGAGCCCGCCGGTGTTAGCAGCAACCCAGGAACTGCGTGGCTACCGTCGCAAGGTTACGGTCATCTCACCCACCAGCCTAGCTCTACTTATTACGCATTTGCGTAGCGAGTACGCAAGTAGACTCGCACGTTCAAACGCGCCCCGTATCGTATGATCTATGACGTACGGGTGGTATCAGCTAGACCTCGGGCCTGGTATTAATATGGACAGACAGAAAGACAGCGCAGTCTTAGTAATAGGGTCCCGATTAACCCTTTGGTTACGGAACCCTAAAAAACATAAACATTCGAATTGACAACCCACTCCTTTTTGAAGTCGGTTAATTATACAGCCTATTAAATGATGAGTACACTCGTTGCTGCATAAACAGCAGATTTTATAATGACTACAACGAATTTCGAAATCGTGGAGCGCACAAAAATATTAAAGTGAACAACGTAAGCTAACAATGAAATCGTCCGAATTGCCCCTTTTGTTAATTTTGCTTTGTGTTATCAACTTCACTTTGTTCTTTGTTGGCGTTTCGACAATTTATTTTTAAACAAGCCAAAGGAGTGATTCTCGGTCAAATTAATCAATTCCCTAGTACCAGACTCTACTAGAGATAATTAACAAATTCACTTAAAATTGCCAGAACATCGAAATGTTTTTTTTTAATTCTATAAAGAAGTTGTTATTACCTTTTTTATTCTTTATAAGCTTCAGGCACGTTGAGGAAGCATGTAGAATAGTACCAAAAAAAAGTAAAAAGTAAAGTAACAGCCTATATGATCGTCATGTCCCACTGCTGGGCATGCCTCCTCTGTACAGAGGGTATCATAGTCCACCAAGCGCCCCCACCGCGGATTGGCGAACTTCACATATCTTCGAAACATCTTTTTTTTATTATTTCGAAAATATGCAGGTTTCCTCACGATGCTTTCCTTCACCGCTGAGCACGTGATAAGTCAGCACTTAAAATCTACAATTTCATTGGGAATCGAACTTGGGTTGCTCGAGTACATTGAATTAAAGGCGAGCGCCCGTGCACTGAGCTATCACGGCCATAATATAGAATACTAGCTCCTGCCCGCGACTAGAGGGGTCAAAATTTAGGGTTGTGTGTATTTTTGTATGACGTATCATAAAAAAATAAAAAGATTTATATAAAAAATAAAAGACAATTAGGGGTTGGACCACCCTTAACATTTAGGGGGATGAAAAATATTTTGTCCTATTCTCCACCCTGGCCGATATGCACACAAAATTTCACGAAAATTGGTCGAGCCATTTCGGAGGAGTTCAATTACAAGCACCGTGACACGAGAATTTTATATAATTATTAGAAAGATTACCACATCAAGATAACGGGCGCAGGTACATCAAAACAAATAGAAAAAGACTTAAGTACATGTAATAAAAATTATTTTTTTTTTCTAACTCTGTCATCTGTGGCGCAGTTGCCAAGGTGATGGTTCTTCACCGGGAGTCCTGGGGTCGTGTATTTGTGCCACCCACAGATAACTACGGGTTTTTTCAATACCTACTGCAGGCAACAGCGATCCACAACTAACAAAAGAATATGTCCTTTTAAGTGGAACGAAAAGTGTAAACATAATATATTATTATAAGTTATTAATTGTGAGAAATAAATATTTTATTATTATTTAAAAAAAAATTGTTCCGAATCTATGTGTTTGTTCCCAAGCAGGGTTCCCAAGCGAGGTCATAAAAACCCTCGCTCCATACTAATTAATTAAAACAGGATTCGAAATATTGCACATGTTAACAGCAAAACGCGAATTATAAAGTTACATATAACACATAAATTATCATATTCAAAAAGTCACGAACGATTGTTATTGTAGTTATTTAATACAGATTCATGATTTTTAAAGGATATTTCTTACCGATAATGCTAGCAGTATCAGCGAATAACTAAATGTAAGCAAAATCCTGGCGTTGTGCCAAGGATGACTATGAAATGGGAGTACTAAAGTTTAATTCATTTTATAGTATGATTTCTCATATTTACACCAATGTTACACACATATTTTTATTCACAAAGTTGACACGCGAGCAGTGTATCATCTGTTATTTTGTTATGCAGCTGGCAAGCGAGCCGGCGGTTCACTTGATGTTAAGTGATAACCGCCGATGAACATTTTCAACATCCGTACGGTTGCTGACGCGTTAACACCTGTCGATAAAGTCCGCCCCGTTTACCTCGCTCACCGGACGCAACTAAGAAGTAAAACCTCCTGTTCACACCGGTCTTCTGCGAGGTAATGTTACTTCATTGGACGGACCTACCCATTCGTGCAACAGCGAAGACTGTTGTCACTGAGGTAGGGCCACGCAACAGTGTTCGCTGTTGCACGAATGGTCAGGTCCGTCCGGGTTAGTACCACGACCTCACAGAAGACCGTCATGAAGTAGAGGTAGAAGTGTTACACTTCTGAGTTTTGTCTGGTGATTGAGGTAGACGGGGCACACTTTATTAAAAGATGGCAACGCATTTGCAACTCTGCGAGTTTTGCAAATGCCCATGGGCGGCGGTCATCACTTAACATCGGGTGAACCGCCAGCTCGTTTGCCACTTTCTCACATTAAAAAAAAAAGATTAAAAGGTTCAGTGATCAGCGCCACCCATCTACATCAACTGGAGCTGTCAACATTTTAAAAGTAAGGACCAGCTACCTCAGGCACCAGAAGAAACGAACGTATAATATACATCTGCACACAAAAGTGTGTATAAAAAACTGTCACAAAAGTTTTAACTTTCATTTTAATTGTAGAGACTAGCTCTAAACTTGTAGGAGAACTAATGCTTGCCTGTGGTAGGACCACGTAACATTCTTCTCTGTTGCACGAACTGGCATGTCCATCCGGTACCACGACCTTACAGAATACCGGCGTGATATGGAAGTATAATACTTTAGCGTTTCGTCTGGTGAGTGAGGTAGTCGGAGCCCAATTTTCAAAAGGTTGTCAACGCATCTACAACCCTCGGGTGTAGCAGATATCCATGGGCGGCGGTATTCACATTAGGTGAATCGACTGCTCGTTTGGCAAGTTTTTACATAAAAAAAACAGCGGCGTGAAGGGGAAGTGTTACACTTCTGCGTTTCGTTTGGTGAGTGAGGTAGCTGGGCCCACTTTATTATAATATAGCAACGCATCTGCAACCCTAAGGGTGTTGCAAATGTCAATGGGTGGCGATTATCACTTAAAATCTTAAACCGCCAGTTTGCCACCTTCGCACATCGAAAAAAGGGAGAAGTAATCAAGTCCTAATGAGAAATAATCATTATTTAAACCGAGCCATACGGCTTGGTTTAAATCACCGTCTGATGATGATCGCCGAGGGACTCACCAATCTTGATCACCGGCGATAGCGCGGCGGCGGCGTTCAGTAGAATCACCAGCCAGCGCCAGCCGCCCCACATGGTGTCACGGCATCACCGACGCGCGCCCGCACTCTTCTCACCACCTGGACAAGAGGAGCTTGGTAATAATCAGGTGGATCTAATCATGAGGAGCTTCGCAGCAATCTACAGTAAGTAAAAAGGTAAAGTGATAGCCTATGTATACATGGGTAAAGACTAAACAGAGGACTGTACAGAGGGTAGTGTCCACCTCGCGACCCCGCAGCGGATTTCACATATCTCCGTTCTGATATGTTTGCGTACCCAAAGGTTAAAACGCGACCCTGTTAGTAATACGCCGTTGGTTATCTGTCTGTCTGTCTGTTCGTTTGTCACCAGGATGTATCGCATGAACCGTAATAGTTTGACAGCTGAAATTTTCACAGGTAGATTACCTATTTCTGTTGCCGCTATAACAACTAAAAACAGAATAAAAAAAAAATTTATTGGGGCCTCCATACAACACATATGATTCTTTGTCATTTTTATAGATTAGTACGGAACCTAACGCGCACGAGTCCGACTCGCACTTGGCCGGTTTTTATTTTTTAATTCTAATCATTACACTCAAGATAACACATATCTATATTACGTATGCCGAAATATTTATTTATCATCTGTGTACTATCACCCTTGTGCACTTCAGGTTGAAATTCAATTGGCCGTTGTTTAAACTGACGTCGGTTATTTCACGCCGCGGGGGCACTTGAGGGCTCCGTCCGAATTTGAGTAGACGAGGAGTACACTTGAACGCCGCTCCGGAAATTGGTCGTCGACTGTTTCGCGTCAGCTCAGCCCAGTACTGCTCCAGTACTGAGAGAAGAGGCCAGGCGGACACTCGACAATAAGTAAGCGTCGACTGAACAATGTGGAGGGGCGGCCATTCGAGCCAGCTAAGTACGGAGTGGAGTGTGCACAAAAGGAACGATGGACGCGGAAATCCACTGTGTACTGACGGTTTCAGGTTCGAGTTTCAAAGTTCGATGAAGTTAAAATATTATTATTTTTCGACGTAATCTCCATCTTTTGAGGGTTCCCGTGCCCGAAGAGTGAAACGGGAGCCTGTTGCTAAGACCCCGCTGTCGGCCTGTCTGTCCGTCTGTCACTATGTTTGTTAAATAGAAGAACCGGCCCATCGAGTCGGACTCGCTTAAGAAGCGGAACCGTACCATTTTTCTATACAAACGGCAAAAAAATAATGTCCGTTGTATAGGAGCCCCAATTATTATTTTTTATCCTTTTTTTAGTATTTGTTGTTATAGCGGCAATGGAAATACATCATCTAGACGGACAGATAGACTGTTCTGTTTTACCTTTTGAGTACGGAACCATAAAAATTAATAAATATTAGAGGACATATTTTTACACAACGCTGTCTAGTCTTAAAATAAACGTTTCTTCTTCTTTTTCTTCATCTTCTGGTCTCAAACTAAAAAAAGCTTGTACTATGGGTACCAGACTCCGTGGCGCAGTTGCCATTGAATTCGGTGCTGGAAGTCGTGCGTTCGATTCCAACACGGTACAACTATTATCGTGGCCCAATGGTAATTTTTTCGAATTTGTCCACGTGAAATTTATGCATGTAAAACGTCCTTACACAGGATAATTTTATTTCACGGTAAAAGCAATGTTGAAAAAGATGAAACAAACAACAATAACTATTATTTAACTAGCTGCTGCCCGCGACTACGTCCGCGTAGAATAGGCTGAAGGCGTAACATTCAGACAGAAAGACAGATATACATAAAATATATATATAAATCATAGCCTATATCTTATTCTAATGTATAAGCTATATTATTGTAAAGTTTCATTAAAATCCATTCAGTAGTATTTGCATGAAAGAGAAACAAACATTCATCCACACACACAAACTTTTCGCCTTTATAATAATATTAACTAGAGGGCTTCACGAACATGAAAGCACCAAAACTGGAAACGATTATTTGTGGATCACATAAATTTTCTCATTCGAGCATCGAACCCGAAACAGAACGCACAGTTAGCGAGTGACCAATTAACCTTCAACTTCGTGCAGGGGAGCTATAAGCCAACCCCCTCACCCCTCGGGAAGAATGCGGGGATTTCTCCAGCGTCGAGGGTGATTTATTTATAGGGGCGCGAGCTCCGTCAATTATATCCTAAGGCGTATTTTATCTTTCGACCATAAATCAAACGCTCGCGAGATATATGAGATATAAATCTTGTTATCGGCAAATAGGCAGAGAAGGTGGAAAATATTAAGAAATCGGAACGGAGTAATATTTTCTAAGTCGCCTTCATTGTGGGGGGATTCAAATTGTTGTTACGGCCGGCAGGCTTTAATATTTGTACACAAATATAGACACATCATACCATAAGGTAAATGACATACAATAAAATATTCATTTATTTTAAGAAGTTAAACTCCTTTACAATGTAACAAACAAGAAATAACCAAAAAAATTATCCCTGTGCCTGCGCTCTTAGTTTGTAAAAAGACAGTAAATGCAATTGATAAAACCTTTATTAAATAAATTGGAATATAGGTAAATCTCAAAAATTTGTTATTGGTTGCCATGGTAACGATGATGTTGGCCCGAGGTGGTCGCTTGGCAAAGATTTTAATCATGTCAAGTTTTGGCCGTCAGTGTGCGCGCGCATCATAAAAATTTTAGTATCCTAACCCTTCTAAACGCGCCCCAAAAGTAAGATTACAGGAATTATTATATTTTAATCTATTAGTCGGATAGTCATTTCAAAAAAAATATGTTTAAAATACATTTAACGGATTTTATACGACCACGTGGGCGTGGCTTGGACCACGCGTCGGGGATTTTTTTTTAAATTATCTTTATACAATAATAATGTAATAATGCTAACGAGTTTGTTTTTTCGAATGCGCTATTCTCCGACACCACCAGATGGATTTTAAAACATCTTTTTATTTGATAGCTCAATTCTTGAGGAAGGTTATAGGGCACTCAGCATCAAGCTAAAACGTACAGGGCGAAACAGAAACGTTTCTCACGGTTGAAACAGCACGGAACACATAGTGAGCTAATAAAAGACAAAACCAATCCATAAAATGGTAAAATTTAAAAATGTTATTTCATCGTTATTAATTAACTAGCTGCTGCCCGCGACTACGTCTTCGTAGAATAGGCTGAAGGCGTAACATTCAAACAGAAAGACAGATATACATAAAAATATGTATATAAATTATAGCCTATGTCTTATTCTGATGTATAAGCCATATTGTTGTAAAGTTTCATTAAAATCCATTCAGTAGTATTTGCGTGAAAGAGTAACAAACATCCATCCATACGTACAAACTTTCGTTTTTATAATATTAGTAAGGATTCGACACTAACGCTGTTACTGAAACACTGATCATCGTAGACGTCAACTAATCAGCTGTCAAATGCCATTTGAGATGCCAAAAGGATGGTTAAACTCTTTGAATTGATCATTCTGATCATTAAGGAGATCATTCTGGTCAATTCAGAGTGTTTAACCATCCTTTCGGCAACTAACATGAAATTTGAATTTGACGGGTGATTAGTTGACATCTAAGATTATCAGTGTTTCAGAAACCGGGCGTAAGAATATCATTTACAATTAATATTTGTCAATATAAGAGATTCCCTAATATACTATCGCGCACTAGGCTTAGTTTGTCGCAACAAAAGCAAACACGAGTGAATTTCCGACGGCAGAAATTCGAACACGCAACCCGAGCTTCTAGATCTTCCACGAACGTTTATAAACTGCCGTCCACTGAGCCTTCGCGTCTTCGAAGTTCCGGTATCCAGACGGAGGGTGGAAATTTCCGCCCACGTTTAACTTCGCCTTAAATAACCCCTAATTAACCGAACCCATCCCTCTTCAAAGGCGGCGAAGATTTAATGAGCCGTCTCAAGTCTGTGCAAGATATGCGGCGTGTTATTAATAGGCCGCCATTTTGTTTGTCCTGTCAAAACGTTTTTACAAAATGTTTCCGCTTTATACGGCATTAATAAAAAGTGAATGTGACATCCATGAATGAGCCATCTTGAAAAAAACCGGCCAAGTGCGAGTCGGACTCTCAATCGAAGGGTTCCGTACCATCCATACTATAATACTTCGCAAGGGTGCAGTGTATTAAACATAATATAAACTTTCCTCTTGAATGAAGATCCGTTGCATAATTTTAAATATCTAAGCATACATAGGGACAGACAGACAGCGGGACGTATTTGTTTTATACTATGTAGTGATGCGAAAGTCTGGTCGCTGTTGTATGGGACCCCACTTAATAATTTTTTTATTCTTATTTTTTACTTTTTATTGTTATAGAGGCAACAGAAATACATCATAATATGTGAAAATTTCAACTGTCTAACTATCACGGCTCATGAGATGCAGCCTTGTGACAGACGGACAGAAAAATTACTTCTCTGCCGTTCGTGAATTATCAGGTCCTTACATATTATTTGGCGTAATAAATATGAATTAATCACAAACACGACAGTCCTCGAGTTAAATCTGACTCGGTTGAAACATGGCGTAATCTGCGAACCTAATAGGATTTCAGCGTAACACCCTTCATAAGCATTTCTTGTATTAACGCGATTACATATTACAAAATGAAAGTATATTTTACGGATTTATCAGATTTTTTTTATGTGAGAAGTTGCCAAACGAGCAGATGGTTCACCTGATGTTAAGTGAATACCGCCGCCCGTGGACATCTGCTATACTCGAGGGTTTGCAGATGCGTTGACAACATTTTTGGAAATTGGGCTCCGGCTACCTCACTAACCAGACGCAACGCGAAAGTATTATACTTCCACTTTACGCCGGTCTTCTGTGAGCTCGTGGTACTTACCCGGATGAGCCTGCCCAATCGTGCAACAGCCGAGGCTGCTGCGTGGCCCTACCACCGAAAAGTTATATTTTACATAAAATAAAGCAGGTGTTTTTTTTTAAATTCAGAACTGGCCAGCACTTGACTCTCATCCGGTAGGATGGCATTGCCACTTACCATCAGGTGTGATGCA